TATTTAACATGGCTAACCACACCATCTTTCTCCAGTGCCTACCCTCCACTTGCAGCTGAGTAAAACTGACCTGATTGGTACCATTCTTATCAATTCAATCCTTGTCACAGAATCTCCTGATCCGGCTTCTCTTCTTGTTCCCATACTGTTATGTCCGGAGTTCTCTATGAATCTATCTTTGACTTCTTCGTATCTCTCACTTGCTGCCAACTTTGGTGGCATAATATGAAAACACATCAGATTGCACATGTACACTTATGACATTTAGTTCTACCTTGATACTACTTCTCAATCCTTTTAGTCTCTCCGTTGTCAAGCAGCATATCCAGCTTTTGGTTTTCGATGAGAACATATTTCCTCCAATTAAAAATTGGGAAGATGAAACAACTGTCTTCTGTCCTCACCATAATCTCAAGTTCCCTATCTACTCACTCCATCCCTCTCCCCAGCAACTGTCTGAGGCTGAAGGAGAATATTTGTAATATTTGTCCTATTTGAAGCTAAGCTTCTGAATCTGAATCCTCTCAATCGCCAAGGTTGTATACAAATGATTGTCCAAACTTTTGTTTACTTTTATTAGTCAATTTGTATCATAACATTTACGCCATGATAAAATTCCAGATGATTGTGAAAGCCGTGGAAGAATTCGAGTGATTATTGGAGAAAACAGATATGATTCTCAAGTTGAATCTTCTCCCACATCTTGATGAGAACCTCCAATTCAATAAATAATATTTCTAATAACGATTGCAATAAATTAGTACAATTAAATATTTTCAAGTACAAGAAGTTGAATTCGATACCTGTTGCATGGGATGCTCCAATCATTCTACCTCGTATCAAGCCCTCTCGTCCAGCATTTCTAACAAGTTTCACTTTTCTAGGCAAGCTATTCCGTATATAATCCTCCAGCTCACCTTTTAGATTAACTGACAAAAAATGAGAACAGAGGATAGTTAGAAGTATAAATGATGACAGCTTGCAGCTGAAATGTTACATGGTAATCGATAAAGCCAGCATAGATGATAACCATCAAGAAGCTAGTCACTTAATTATTCATGTGAGATGGCCCTGTTTATTTTGAGGGCTGGACTGTTTGATGGAGCTTGATATGATAATAAAATGAAAATTAAGGATTCACATACATCATATATATGCAAGTTGCATTTTAAGGTGGAGCCTACCACCAGACTCAACACTTGGCTTAACAGGATTTGGCTTAACACTAGAACATGGAGTTATGTTAGTTTTTGGGATGCCACATTCACAAGCTTACTTTCACTGGCCAGGTGGCCTTGAGATCCATCCTATTGTATCTGCTCACTTATGTTTTTAGTTTAAGCAGCATTATATGTAAGTCAAAAGCCACCAAGGCACAAGGGAGGATGAAAAGAAGTGAAATGTTTCAAGAAATGTTAAGGTGACTCACTGAAATCACTACTGTCATCCACAAGTATAATTTCATGCAGCAGGTTCACTGGAGAACGATTCAACACACTCTGTACTGTCCGCAGCAGAGCTGATAAAGCTTCATTATAAAAGCAGATAACAACACTGGCAGAAGGTAAATTCAGTGGATAGTTCTTTTCTTTACACCTGACAACAAAAAAAAAACTAGGATTGAAAATAAAAGAAAGAATATATCAATTTCTAAATCAAAATTATCTTGTCTGAATAATATGTTTTAATTGTTGTTCATTTTGTTTTACAAATGCTGCATTGGGATGCTGTAATTTACATCCAAATAAGTAATTTGTGTTGAGTAATATCCTTATGCATGTGACATTTAAAATATTATGTAGTTTTTCTTTCTCCTAGTGGCAGAGATAATGTTTTTCTTTGTAAAACTTAATTAGATTAGGAGTTTTCTTATGATGTTCCTCATGGTGTATTAACGCATTAGGTCTCATTCTCCCATGGTCACCTACATCTGTCATCTCCACTGAGGATCCTTTTATCTGTCTTTGCTTTGCAGCTTTTCTTTTCAGCGCGCGATGTTGGGTCATATGACAGAGATGGACGTTAGAGGTTGCAGACCACACCTCCAATGCTTTTTGCATCATTTACATTGTATTTTGTACTCCAATTGTTTGTCTCCCCTTTCTGTCCTACCTCCCCTTGCCACACATTCCCTTCCCACAGTTCTGTGCTGTCTCGACAGTTCCATTTTGCCAGTGTATTTTTTTCCATGGCCATCAATCTTCATTAAGCTTTTAGTTTTATTGCCCCATGTCTCCTTCCAATTGGTACCTTCAACTTACTTTTTGTGTTTTTGCTTGCCTTCTTCTCCATTTCGTTCTCTTTCATTTGAGGCTCAAAATTCATGCCTCTTAGTTAATAATAATTCCTAGTTCCTTTAAATGCTAATCTCATCACAGCTAAGTATGCCTAACTTCCTTCATCTCCTTTCCATACACATTCAAACAGCCTCAATATCCAATTCTTACTCATACAGTAAAACTCACAACCCATTCCCATCCCTCTCAATGGCGTCACCCAAAGCTTTCGATGAGTGAAAAACCATGCACTAATGCTGGCACCTAATCTTTAAGGGCTTGCAAAACAATACCAATATATGTAACTTCCAGTATATGCAAGTGCACAACTCTGCAGGCCTGGGCAGCGTTCTATATTGGGTTGCTGGCATATGTCTTTGCACATTCAGGATCATTTAGCATGTGTTGTCCAATCATGGAATTACATGTAATAGTGGACACTACTGTGAGATTTGCAAGCACGGGCTGGGTTGGACATGGTAAGTACCTTGCTTATTGGGAACGCTATGCTATCTTTGTAATTCATTCACGAATGTGGGTGTCACAGGGCAGCTCAGCATATACTGCCCATCCCCAATTGCCCAGAGGGCAGTTAAGTGTCAAACACATTGCTGGAGTCAAATGTAGGCACATGTTTCACACAACAAATGGTCTAGCATGCACTGCCTAGAAATGCGCTAGAGGCAGACTCAATTGAGGCACTGAAGAAGGCACTTGATGATTAATAGAATAGAAATGTAGAAAATAGGAGCAGGCATAAGTTATTCTGCCTTTCATGTCTGCTCCACCACTCAATATGTTCACGGCTGATCATCCAACATAGTACTCTGTTCTGGCTTTCTCCTCCATACCCTCTGATCCCTTTAGCCTTAAAAACTATATCTATCTCCTTCTTGAAAATATTTCAATGTTTTGGTCTCAACTGCTTTCTGTGGTATAGAATTCCAAAGATTCACTCTCTGAGTGAAGAAATTTCTCCTTATTTCAGTTCTAAATGGCTTACTCCTTATTCTTAAACTGTGACTCCTGGTTCTGGAATTCCTGGATCTGGGGGACATTCTTTCTGCATTTATCACATCTAGTCCTAACGATATAATCTGTTAAGCCATTCTTGATAAGTCAACCCCTTCATCCCAGCCTAGTGAAAGTCTTTTGAATTGCAGCAAACTTTTTATTAACAGGCATCTATGGGACCAGGAATGCATCAGTTGATCAAGTATTCTGGTTGATCAAGAAGTCCACGTAATGAATGTACAAACACGCACTAAGTAATAGAAATGTAATGGAAGGGATATACACATCACTGTTATACTTTATTTACAGCATAAATTACTTAAATAATAATGCAACTTTGCCTTAAATAAAACTTACTGGCAGAGAGCCTTCTAACTCGCAACGTCAACTGACTATTCGGACTTCACAAAGACTGCGATAATACAGTAAACTTCTGGTCCTTGAGGTATATAATTTTTGCCAGTTTATTGAGAGTGCCGGTTCATAAGGTGCCAGTTAAAACAAAGTCTGCTGTACCTCCAATGCCAGTATATCATTTTAAATACAGGAATCAAAAATATGCAGTTCTCCAGGTACAGCCTCACCAACACCTGATAACAAGACTTCTGTTTTTAAACTCCAAACCCCTTAGCAAAAGGCCAAAATTCCATTGGCCTTCTTAATTACGTGATGTACCTGCATGCTGTTTGTGTTTCATGCACAACAACATCAAAATCGCTTTGTGCAGCACTTTTTTGGAACCTTTGCCTATTTAAATAGTAGTCTGATTTTTCATTGTTCCTACCAAAGTACCTTACACTTCCTTCCTGCTTTGCACTTTACTACACTAACATCCATCTGCCCAGGTTTTGCACACTGACTCAACTTATTTATATCCTCTTGTAGATTCTTTATGATCTCATCACAACAAGCCCCTCACCTGTTTCTGTACTGTAAGCAAATCTGGACATATTACACTGTGCCCCTTCCTCCAATTCATTAACATAGATAGCAATTGAAGTCTTATAACTGATGCTTGTGGCACTCCTCTAGTTATATCTTTCCAAGATGAAAAAATGCTATTAATCCAGGCTGCCTGTCTTCTGTGAGTTAAGCAATCTTCAATCCATGCTAGTACATTACCTGAATACAGTGAGCTTTAATCTTCTGCGATAACCTTTGATGTGCCAGTTTATCAAATCCCTTTTGTAAATCTAAAAGCACATCTACCATTTCCCCTTTATCAACTCTGCTTTTAATATCCTCAAAGAACTCGGGAAAATTTGCCAAACATGATATCCATTATACAAAACCATCCAGACTCTGGTTGATGTGTTAAGCTTATCTAAATACTCTATTTCTTCCTTAATAGTGGATTCTAGTATGTTTCCAATGACAGATGCTTGAACATGGATGTCTTATTATCAGAATCCAGTGAGTTCTAGAACATTTTGACCAATGCCTCCACTATCTCTACAATCACATCCTTTAACATCTGATGCAAGATGGTGGCAACGTAACAGGGCTGCATGCGGGCTCTTGCCCAGGACCCATCCGCTCCTATCTGCTTTCCTTGTTTTACCTTGGCTTCTGCTCTTTTAGTTTGCTTTATTTTCCTTTACTTTTGGCCTTTTTTTCTTCTTTCCTGTGGTGTGTTGGTAGGCAGCACCAGCGCAGCAGTGGGAGCACATGCAAAGTGGTAGAATTGGCTTCTCCCAGCGATAGGAGGCTGGCAGCTGCAAGTGCGTTCTCCCGCCATTTGGGCCCTGTGACGAAGAGGATTGACGAAGGCAGGGCAATGGGCATTGTCTATATGGACTTCAGAAAGAAGGTGAACAAGGTTCTGCATGGTAGACTGGGTTAGCAAGGTTAGATCACATGGAATTCAGGAAGAACTAGCCATTTGGATATAAAATTGACTCAAAGGTAGGGGACAGGGGGTGACGGTGGGGGGATTGTTTGTCGGACTGGAGGCCTATGACCAGCGATGTGCCGCAACAGTTGGTGCTGGATCCTCTGCTTTTCGTCATTTCTATAAATGATTTGAATGTGAATATAGGTGATATGGTCAGCAAGTTTGCAGATGACACCAGAATTGGTGGAGTAGTGGACAGTGAAGAAATTTGTCTCAGACTACAACGGAACCTTGATCAGATAGGCAGAGGAGTGGCAGATGGAGTTTAGTCCAGCTAAATGTGAGGTGCTACATTTTGGTAGGGCAATTTAGGGTAGGAATTATTTACTTAATGATAAGCTTCTGGGGAGTGTTGCCGAACAAAGACATTGGTGTGCAGGTTCATAGTTCCTTGAAATTGGAGTCACAAGTAGACTGGGGGGTGAAGGAGGCATTTGGTACATTTGCCTTGATTGGTCACTGCATTGAGTGTAGGAGTTAGGAGGTCATGTTGCAGCTGTACAGGACACTGGTCAGTCACTTTTGGAATAATGCTTTCTATTCTGGACTCCCTACAGGAAAGATATTGTGTAACTTTAAAGGGTTCAGAAAAGATTTACAAGGATGTTGCTAAGGTTGGAGGGTTTGAGCTGTAGGGAGAGGCTGAATAGGCTGGGGCTATTTTCCTTGGAGCATCGGAGGCTGAGGGGTGACCTTAAAGAAATTTATAAAATCATGAGAGGCATGGTTAGGACGAATAGCCAAGGTCTTTACCCCAGGATAGCGAAGTCCAAAATTAGAGGCAATAGGTTTAAGGTGAGAGGGAAAAGATTTAAAAGGGACCTAAGGGGCAACTTTTTCATGCCCAGGGTGATGTGTATATGGAATGAACTGCTAGAGGAAGTGGTGGAGGCTGATACAATTACAACATTTAAAAAACATCTGGATGGATATATGAATACAAAGGGTTCAGAGGGATATGGGCCAAAGGGGCTAGATTAATTTAGGGTATCTAGCTGGCATGGCCAAGTTGGACCAAATGGTCTGTTACCATGCTGTACATATCTATGACTCTAAGGGGCCAGCAACGAGGACATGACTAAGATCAGGCCTAACAGTGAAGATGATATGGCGACAGCTTTGGAATTTGGTATTAATATACACTGCTATGTGCAAGCATAAATGTGATTTGCATCTTTAAATCAGGTGACAACTTAAACTTAAGAACTTGCTTTTGGTTTCTGGTATCAGGAATATCTCTACTGTAGCCCAAACGATTACTGACAAGCACATTGAAAGCATGTTTCTGGTATCCAGCATCTCGAATCTGTTGATCTGCTTCATTGAAAATCATACCTGAAAGAAAAGTACTTACGTTAAAATAAGATTATGGCTACTTTAACATTAATATCAGCATGTTTTATAGCAAATAACTTCAAAATTCAGAAAGCCTACTAAACGGTGTACTTATTTTTGTCTACTGCAATGGAGAACAGGTGCTTTTTGCTTGCTTTTTTGGTTCACAATATGTAAAGTCTTTTAATAGAATAACTTGAAGCCCAGGATCAGGAACTCAGCGCAAAAGAAAAAGTGCTATCAGAGGAAAACTGTAACTTCAATGGTTGGTAATAGCTACTAATTTGACTCTCATAAGTTACTTTCATGTCAAAAATAAATAGAAGAAATATTATACAGATTATAAGCTAAAAGACCAGTACAAAATTTAAAGAAAAAACAAGTTAAGAACTATGTAATTAGAGATACAGGGCCAGGCAATGTATTGCATGTGGACGATGTGGGAACTGGTGGATCCCACAATAGCTCATAGTGACCACACCTACAGCAAGAGTTGCATGTTTGAGGAACTCCAGCTCAGAGCTGATGAGCTGGAGTCCAAGCTGAAAACACTGAAACACATCAGGGAGGGGGGAAGAGTTACCTGAATGCTATGTTTCACGAGACGGTCACAGCCCTCACTGTAACCATATTGAATTCAGTCACTGGTCAGGAACAGGAGAGTGTGACTACAAATGAGGCAGATAACGGAATCCAGGAGGCAGTGACAAGATCGTCAGCCCTTGAGATTGTAGAACAGGTTTGAGATTCCTGTTCACATATGAACATGAGTGGGGGCTGTAGGCAGGATGACCATTCTGGAGAGGGTAGATAAGAGAATGTGGTTGCAATCAGGAAAATAAACACTGTTCTCTGTGGGCAGAATCGACAGTCTCAAAGACTGTGTTGCTTGCCTGGTGACCAGATTCAGGATATCTCATCTGGACTGCAGAGGAATTTGCAGCGGGAGAGGATAGATCCATTTGTCACGGTCCATGTAAGTTCCAACAATAAAGGCAGAATGAGGAATGAGGTTCTGCTGGGGAATATGAGCAGCTAGGGGCTAAATTAGAAAGAAGAACTAAAAAGGTGATAACCTCTGGATTATTGCCTGAGCCACGAACAAGTCGGTACAAGGCCACAAGAATAAAGAAGTAAACATGTTGCTCAAAGATTGGAGTGGGAGACATGGGTTTGAATTCATACGACATTGGCATCAGTACTGAGGAAGGAGGAAGCTGTTATGATGGGACTGGCTTCAGAGTATAGGAGTTGGGACATTATGTTGAGCTTGTACAGGACACTGGCGAGGCCTCTTCCAGAATACTGTGTCCAGTGCTGGTCAACCAGTTATAAGAAGGATATTATCAAGCTGGAGAGGGTTCAGAACAGATTTACCAGGATGTTGCTGGGTATGAAAGATTTGTGTTATATGGAAAGGCTGGATAAGCTGGGACTTTTTTCACTGGAGCATAGGAGTTTGACAGGTGACCCAATAGAAGTTTATAAAATAATGTGAAGAATTGTTGATGGTAGTCTTTTCCCTAAGAAGGGGAATTTCAAGACTAGAGGGCACATTTTTAAAGTGAGAGGAAAGCAATTTCAAAAAGGCATTAGGCAAATTTTTTTACACAGAGGATGGTTCATGTTTGGAATGAACTTCCCGATGAAGTGATGTGGGTACAATTACAACGTTTAAAAAACATTTGGATGGATACATGAATATGAAAGGTTAGGAGGGATATGGGCCAGGAGCAGGTAGGTGGGAATAGTGTAGTTTGGGATTATGTTCGGCTTGACTGGTTGAACCAAAGGGTCTGTTTCTGCGCTGAATGATTCTATGATTATGACTCTATGAATCGTGCTGGGACCAGAGTCCTGGCGAATTGTGTAACTGGAGCTGCGGATAAGGATTTAATCTAAATAGTGAGGGGGGTGGGTTCAGTTGCATGGAAATTTATGGAAAAATTTAAGGGGTGGGGCATTCAACAGAGGTTACTCAAGTTTCCAGAACAAGGAATAGGACAGAGAGTATGAAAAGGGTCAGGAATCTGATTTCAGGCACAGCAAACAAAGGGACAACTGTGAGGGGGTGGGGAAGGTGCAAGTCAACGCAGGACTGAGAGTGTTGTATTTAAATGCAGTTTATGAAACAATGTAAATGAGTTTGTAGAGCAGATTCAAATAGGCAAGTACAATGTTCTGGCTATCACAGAGAAATGGCTGCAAGAGGATCTGGGCTGGGAACTAAATATCCAAATATATACATCCTATTGAAAGGGCAGGCAGATGGGCGTGGGGATGGGGTTGCCTTGATAGTAAGAAACAAAATTAAATCAATAGCAAGAAGTGACATAGAGTCAAAAGACACAGAACCTGTGTGGGTAGACTTGAGGAACCGCAAAGGGAAAAAGACCCTGATTGGTGTTATGTATAGGCCTTCTACCAGTTGTCAGGATGTTGGGAAGAAAATACATCAGGAGATACAACAAGCATGTAAGGAAGGCACTACTACAATAAGCACAGGGGACTATGTGCAGGCAGACTGGGAAGATCAGGTTGGTAGCAGATTGCAAGAAAAGGAATTTGTGGAATGTCTACAAGATTTTTTTTTGGAGCAGCGCACGGTAAGCTCACTAGGGCACAGGCAATTCTGGATTTAGTAATGGGTATGAGGCAGATTTGATTAGGAAGCTTAAGGTGAAGGAACCCTGAGGGGGCAGTGACCATAATTCATTCCACTGAAGAAGGAACATACTGAGAGGAGGACGAGGCAACCATAGCTAACAAAGGAAGTCAGGACAGCATAAAAGCAAAAGAATAAGCATACAATGTGCTGAAGATTAGACAGCTAGAGGACTGGGAAGCCTTACAGAGTCATCCAGCACAGAAACAGTCTCTTAGGCCCATTTCATCCATGCCAACCAGGTTTCCTAAACTCAACTCGTCCCATTTGCCTGCATTTGGACCATATTCTTCTAAACCTTTCCCATTCATGGACCTGTCCAAAGATCTTTTAAATGTTGTAATTGTACCCACCTTTACCACTTCCTCTGGCAGTTCATTCCACATATGAACCACCCTCTGTGTGAAACAGTTGCCCTTGAGGTCCCTTTTAAATAGAGTCATAGAGCTGTACAGCATGGAAACAGATCCTTCATCTTATTTATGCCCCTCATGATTTCATAAACTTCTACAAGGCATCCTTCAGCATCCTAAGCTTCAAGGATTTAGACAGGCTAGGAGAGTGGGCAAGGAAGTGGCAGATGGAATAGAATGTGGGAAGGTGTGAAGTTATACACCTTCATAGGAAGAACAGAGGCATTGACTATTCTACAAGTGGGGAAAGGCTTTGAAAATGTGAGGCACAACAGTACTTGGGAGTCTTGGTTCGGGATTCTCTTAAGGTTAACATGCAGAATCAGTTGGCAGTTAGGAAGGCAAATAGAATGTCAGTGTTCATTTCCAGAGGGTTAGAATACAAGAGCAGAGATGTACTGCTGAGACTGTATAAGGTTCTGGTCAGACCGCATTTGGAATATTGTGAGCAGTTCCATGCCCCATTGTTAAGGAAGGATGTGCTGGTGTTGGAGGGGTCCACAGGAGGTTTACAAGATTGATCCCAGGGATGAGAGGCTTGTCATTTGAGGAGCTGTTGAGAACTCTGGGTCTGTGCTCAATGAAGTTTAGAAGGATGAGGGGAATCTCATTAAAATTTACAGAATACTGAGAGGCCTCATTAGACTGGACATGAAGATGATGTTTCCACTAGTAGGAGAGACTGGGATCTAACAGCATAGCCACAGAAGGAAGGGATGACCCTTTAGAACCAAGGTGAGGAGAAATTTTTTCAGCCAGAGGTTGGCTAATACAGAAGACTGTGGAGACCAAGTCATTGAATGTATTTAAGACATAGATAGGTTCTTCATTAGTAAAGGAATCAAGTCTTCCATGGAGAAGGCAGGAGAATGGGGTTGAAAAACATATCACCCATGATCGAATGGCAGAGTAAACGTGATGGGTCATATGGCTTAATTCTGCTCCTCTATCTTAGGTTTTATGTGACCAGAGTCCTGGCAAATTTCATAACTGGGGCCTTAAACTAAATTGAGCTCGGGTGGGGATGGGGTAAGTGTATTCAGTTCCATCGAACTACTTGTGCCTTGAGCTGATTGGTACAGGGTCAACAAGATTAAAGTGTGGCTCAAAGACTGGTGTGGGAGAAAAAGGTTTGAATTAATGGGACACTTGCACCAGTACTGGGAAAGGAAGGAAAGCTGGGGCTGTAGGTAAGGCTTTAAAGTAAATGGTGGGGGTGGGGGATGGAGGTTAGGAGTTCAGTTTATGGAAAACTAGAGAATCCTGGTTAAAGGAGAAGGTAGGATTGCAGATTAAGGATGGAACTGATTGTTACCAGAAAAATAAAAGGAAGTGACAGAATGTCTGAATGTCATATTGCACCAAGGAAACATAAAAGTGTCAGGAAATTGGATAATACAACAAACTTAAAGGCTTTGCACCTCAATGCATAAAGCTTTTGGAGTAAAGTAGGAGAACTGATGGTGCAAATCGAAGTAAATGGATATGATCTCATAGACACCACGAAAGCATGGTTACAAGGAGATCAAAACTCAGAACATAACATTCAGGGATATCTGACCTTTCAGAAAGACAGAAGGGATGGAAAATATTCTTAGTAACAGACTAAATAAGGATAATTGTGAGATGCGATTTAGGCTTGAATGACGTACAGTCCATATGGGCACATGTAAAAACAGCAAAGGAAAGAGATAGTAACAACTGCCGATGCTGGAGTCTGAGATAACACGGTGTGGAGCTGGAGGAACACAGCAGGGCAGGCAGCATCAGAGGAACAGGAAAGCTGATGTTTCGGGTCGAGACCCTTCTTCAGAAATGGGGGAGGGGTAGGGGGCTCCGAAATAAATAGAGAGAGGAGGGGTGGGGCTGGTGAAGGTAGGTGAGGTGGTGATAGGTGAGTGCAGGTAGGCAATGATGGGGGT